AGCTGCGCGGATCCAGTCGATCAACACCTCAGTGACATCACCCTTGCTGCGCAAGGGGAAGACTGTGGTGTAACGCGAGTAGTCGTCAACCACCAGCAGGAAGTAGCGCTCGTGACCCTGTCCACGGACGCGGGCCGGGCCCCACACGTCCATGTGAAGCGTCTGCAGCGGGGCCTCTGTCAGAGGAAACTGGGAGGAGTGAGGGGTAGCCCGCTGTCGTCCCTCGACACAGGGGACGCAGGTAGGGCCAGGCCCCGGAGGAAGTGGAGGGAGGGACCGGGGAAGACCAGAGACAAGGACACGGGAGGCCATGCTCCGGAGACGAAGCAGGGAGGGGTGACCAAGGCGGTGGTGCCAGAGGAGAGTCTCGTGAGACAGGAGGCGACACGAGCAGGGGGCAGACTCAGGACCAGACCTGGACGCTGCAGCAAACACCTGACCCGACGCAGCTACCTGACCAGACGCAGGGACTGGGGGAGACGCAGTGGTCAGTGTGTACAGGCTCGACCCCGGCCGACGTGTAAACGTGGCCAGGTGTCGGCCTGTCCGAGCGTCCGTGCAGTGGGTCACCCGCTGACTCGCAGGAGTGAACTGGTGAACCCCCGCATCCTGTAGGTCAGCACCACTCACCAAGTTCGTAGAGAACGAGGGGAGGTAAAGACCAGACAGGGTGCCAGAGGGGGCCGCCGGACACGGGAGGACAGTGGAGAAGTGAGCAAGGACAGGACCCCCAGAGGGGTCTGCCAGAGAGACCGCAACTGGCCGGCCAAGCGGCGTGAGTGTGGTGCGGTCTCGAAAGAAGGAGCGAGAAGCCCCCGAGTCAAGGGTGAAGGTGTGGGAGGCCGAAGCCGACGCAGAACCTGAGAGAGCAGACTCACCAGCACCTGAGGGAGCAGACGCACCTAGAGCAGCAGCCTCGCTAGCACCTAGAGCAGCAGCCTCACCAGTACCTAGAGCAGCAGTCTCAATGCCCGGGTCGGGCGGAAAACACCGGTAACAGTCACCCTCATCACTAATAGTCACAGTATACATGGCAGCAAGAATAGCATCAAAGTCAAGGTCAAAGACAGCTACACCCGCCCTAGACAGCTCACCCCAGCGGGGGATCTCAGTGGCCTCAGGGAACTGGTGACGCCAAGCGTCCGTCAGGCGGCCAAAGCAGCGCTGGGTGGAGTGCGCACCCCCGCACTGCTCACCCGCGCGGTCGCCGGTGCGCAGGACGTAGGTGCACGGACCAGTACCCCAACCCCTCTGGCGTGCAGTGTACCACTCACGGAGCTGCTGAGGGGAGGGGACGTCACGAGTGCGCTGCTGCTGCTGCTGCTGCTGCTGCTGCTGCTGGCGCTGACCACCACCGGAGCCGACCCTCTGCGCAGCGCCACCCCGACCAGCTCCACCTCCTCCGCCGCCTCCTCCTCCACCGCCGCCACCTCCGCTCCCTCCGCCACCGCCGCTGCCGCCTGCGCCTCCACTGCCGCCACCTACACCTCCACCCCCGCCACCACCCCCACCGCCACCCCCACCTCCTCCACCGCCTCCACCGCCGCCTCCACCGCCCCCGCTAGCTCCTCCAGCGCCCCTGCCCCCCTTGCCCTTGCCAGGGCGGCGTCTCCCGCTAGGGGTAGACGCTGCCCCAACCGACTCCAAACCAGCGAGGTCGGCCGCAGAAACAGAGGCAACAGAGGGCAAAAGAGGGGAGGGGGAACACCCCTCAAAGATGGGGGTGCGAGGGTCACCACGAGAGGCTCCTACAGCGACTATGCTCTTTTCTGCTGCTAGGAGGGCCTTCTCGAGGAGGTCAACGGTGAGAGTGGTGGGGCAAACCGAGAGGAAGTGGTCCCTGACTACACGAAGGGAGTCAGGGAGACGGGTGACTATGTAGTAGAGGGTGATGTACATGGGGGGGGGGGTTCTTGGCGCAGAACTCAGCAGGAAGCGCAGCGCGGTAGCGAGTGTCACTAGTGCGGAGGTGCGTAATGAGGTCAGCGACTGTGGGAAAGGCAGCAAGGTCAGGGAAGAGGTACGGTAGCATGAGGCGGCTCAGAGCAGCAGTGGCAGGGGAGGAGTAGCGTGCAACTACAGCGTCGTACAAGGTCTGAGCACTCTTGTACTGGCTAAAGTGCGCACGCTCAGAGGTAGGTAGGTGGCGATGCACAGCAAGACGTGCAGCAGCATCGCGCGTGGCCCACTGTGAGCGAACAGTGGCGTCAGCATCAGCAGCGGGGGCAGGAGAGGCACCAGAAGTGAGGTCAAAGAGGGAGAGGCCGTCTGCCCTATCGCACTGTAAGAAAAGCTGCAGGTCATCTATCCAGACTTCAAAGTCAATGGCCCGACCCTCAGCGTCAAAAGCGAGGACACTAGGGGTAGCCATGACAGCAGTAGACTAGCAGTGCAAACAGTAGGGTGAGGGCAGTGCTGTGAGAGAGGCGCTGCTCTTACCGGACAGGGCGGCTCGGGCGGCTCGGCTGCAGGGCGGCTCGGCGACTCGACGGCTGGGCGGCTCGGCTGCTGGGCGGCTCGGCGGCTCGGCTGCTGGGCGGCTCGGCTGCTGGGCGGCTCGGCTGCTGGGCGGCTCGGCTGCTGGGCGTATCGGCGGCTGGGCGGCTCGGCTGCTGGGCGGCTCGGCTGCTGGGCGGCTCGGCGGCTGGGCGGCTCGGTTGCTGGGCGGCTCGGCGGCTCAGCGGCTGGGCTGCTCGGTTGCTGGGCGGCTCGGCGGCTGGGCTGCTCGTAGGAGTAGGCGTGGGGGCCGTAGGAGCAGGCGCCGGGGCCGTAGGAGCAGGGGCCGGGGCCGCTAGGGCGGCGGAGTAGGGGCCGCGAGGGCGGCGGAGTAGGGGCCGCGAGGGCGGCGGATCGGGGCCGCGAGGGCGGCGGATCGGGGCCGCGAGGGCGGCGGAGTAGGGGCCGCGAGGGCGGCGGATCGGGGCCGCGAAGGGCGGCGGATCGGGGCCGCGAGGGCGGCGGAGCGGGGCCGCGAGGGCGGCGGATCGGGGCCGCGAGGGCGGCGGATCGGGGCCGCGAGGGCGGCGGAGTAGGGGCCGCGAAGGGCGGCGGAGTAGGGGGCCGCGAGGGCGGCGGATCGGGGCCGCGAAGGGAGGCGGCCGGCGCCGCGAGGGTGGGGCCGCGGGGTCGCTAGGGTAGGGCGACAGAGCCGCGAGGGCGGCTCGAAGGGGCCGCGAGGGCGGCGCGAAGGGGCCGCTAGGGCGGCGCGAGAGAGGGGAGCGCGACTCGGGCAGGGGCTGAGTGCGCTCCGGGCAGGGAAAAAAAACGGTGGGCCCTAGGAACAGTTCCCACGAGGGAACCTGCTCGATACCATGAGAAGAAACAAGGAATGAATGAACTATGAATGAATTGGGTACAAGTACTAACCCTAATTGGGTTGTACCCCTTATGGGCTACCCCACTATAGCCTACACAATATGCATAAGCTATAATATTCTGACACTATTCTCGAAATTGGGCAAAGCAGAAATTCGCGTCGAAATTGGGCAAACATGCAATTATTGCTTCTGGTGATGTCAGAAAATGTAGCATCGAGAGCCAACCATTCCCGATTTCGCTTTTGCGTAATCCGAAATCGCATCTATTCTCGACTGTTTGTGCTAATTCGAAACGAATCTTGGGAAGCGCGTAATTTTAAGATGACACATTTCTAAGCTGCGTAAAGTGTACACACCTGCCGAATAACATGGCATGCACTTGAATACATTTCCTAGACTAAGTTGCATGCACCTGAAAATGGCCGTACATTGAACGTAGGTGGGGTCGTATCCCTGTTGCGCAGGAGGTACGGGATGGACTCATTGGCTGATGTGTCTGGTATGTAATTGTTCCCTAGCCAGCAACATTGTAGTCAGTCCGTTGGGTGCCAGGCTCGGCATGCGAGGTTCGTACAAAGTGGGCGAAAATGTTTGTAAATACATTGCACTGACTCATCCCACACCCTAGCCCTAGCTTCGAAGTACCCACTTCCTTGCCCGACACACCTAACCCAACTTTTGCAATTTTGGGACGTCACGCCTCGGCAAATCGTGAACGTCTTGCCTTCCTGTCCGCCTGCCTGTCTGCCTGCAGGTGCGACGGTCTGCACTGTCTACGGCGCATGGGCCACACCATTGCTTGCACCGTTCCTCTCGCACCAAGGCGCCTCTTCTACCGCTGCTGCCACTTCTGTCGCTCAGGCCAGACCCCTCGTTTATAAGGGAAGGACACTCGGTAAGTGTTTTCAACCGGTTCAGATCTTGTTAAAACCTGAAGTAACGACTCTCCTAACGGCCGGCGGGTTTTCCAGTAGTGGCCGCTTCTTAAAAGGCGGCCCAGCACTGGCTGTACACTCGCCGTGCGCAACATTGCAAAAAAAACGAAACCCCGGTAGTGGTTTCTGAAAAGTTCGTCGGTAGCCCTGTGCGCAACATTGCAACAGGGCCTACGTCGGTAGACTTTCGGGTAGTGGTTTCTGAAAAGTTCGTTCATGATGTCCACGTCATAAGGCTGTGCAGCTTGTTGACAGATTATGTTTGAAATCTGTGCAGCTTGTTGACGGATTATGTTTGAAATCTTTGCAGCTTGTTGACGGATTTTGTTTGAAATCTGTGCAGCTTGTTGACGGATTATATTTGAAATCTGTGCAGCTTGTTGACGGATTATGTTTGAAATATGTGCAGCTTGTTGACGGATTATGTTTGAAATATGTGCAGCTTGTTGACGGATTATGTTTGAAATCTGTGCAGCTTGTTGACTGATTATGTTTGGAATCCGTGCAGCTTGTTGACGGATTATGTTTGAAATCTGTGCAGCTTGTTGACGGATTATGTTTGCTGCACCTGTGTTTACTTCCCGATCCTTTGCCACCTGTTTGTGATTCGTCAGCTCAGAATCAGCAGCAACCAATTGTTTCGTCTTTTTCATTCCACACGTTCCCGTGTCTAGCTAAATACGTGACCATTCTGCGTCTTACTGTGGTCAAGGGGAAATTAGTCGGTGACGCAGGAGCTTCGGGGAAAATGATGGCCAAAGCAATGAGGTATGCCGCTTCCCCCTCATTCACTTCTCCCCTCGTTCACTTCTCCCCTCGTTCACTTCTCCCCTCGTTCACTTCTTCCCTCGTTCCCTTCTCCCCTCGTTCCCTTCCCCTCGTTCACTTCTCCCCTCGTTCCCTTCTCCCCTCGTTCACTTCTCCCCTCGTTCCCTTCCCCTCATTCCCTTCTCCCCTCGTTCCCTTCTCCCCTCGTTCCCTTCCCCTCGTTCCCTTCTCTCCTCGTTCCCTTCTCCCCTCGTTCACTTCTCCCCTCGTTCCCTTGTCCCACTGGCTTCGCTGACACGTGTCCTGTGGCCTCACAATGTCCTTTTAGAGTTTTGCAAGGTGGGCTCCATACAATATATTTAGATGTTTGCTTTGAATCAATCGCAGTACTTTCTGAGGGTTGACGGATTGCAATAGCACACAGTGGTTCCCTTTACAGTGCACTGCCAGTATACACTCTGAAAATAAAATCTCCCTTTACCGCTTGACAGGTACTCTGGATCGACGTACAGCATGGTCCTTAAGGTAATTCTTTTGAACCTCAAGGGAGGAGATCAACCCCAAGTGGGTTATGGAAGTTCTTGCTCCACAGCGGTTCTCGATGCAACGCAACCATTCCTAAACGTCACGAGACCCAAGGCTCGACGCAAGCGTTACAGCTTTCGGCTTCGTGTTGAGCAGGTGATGTCTTCAGGGGCCATCGCCCGTGCGGCATTGGGTGAGATGGCAGCAGGGTCACATGTGATTATTGGACGCAAAGGGGACACATGTGAAAGTGAGGAAATGAGAAGCATTTGGGTGTGTGAAAATGCATTGCTAGGGTGTGATCATTGCAGCGTGGAGATGCATGTACATGGATGTGGGCATGTGTAGATAACATGCCAATGCATGTGGAGGAGATGCATATGGATGTGGGAATGTGTAGGTGACATGACTATGCATGTGAAGATGTGTCCGTCTGGATGTTGCATTGTTGTTTTAGAGTATAGTAAGTGGAGCCTGGATAACTCATTCCTTGTGTCTACAGCGGATGCTCTAGGCAGTCTATATGGCCAGGGTATACAATACAATGTATTGCTGGTCTGATTAGTGTTTTGATTAATATGAGGTTACATAACTATTCAATTTAATTTGTAGCAGTTAGCGTACATAATCTCTTTGGGCTTTGGGGCGAAAACGTAGACTAGCTCCCGATACAAACGCAACTGCGCCGTATTCATTTCACGGTACTTGTGCCTGTGCCCGTTGTAATACCCACCTAGAGAGCAAGAAGCTGGTGCGCTGCTTCTGCTACTCCCTTCTGCCCCTCATACCTCGCGCTTTCCCCTTTCCCTTCCCGCCTTTCCTGAACTGGAAGCCTCGAACGACAAGCATCTGCAAGGTTTTACTTGCTGCCACCGTCTCCTCCTTTCACGTCATCCTTCCCCACCCCTGTGTCAAACATACATTGTTAGGCTGTAGTGGGTCACTCCTGTTAGGGTACAACCCTTGTTAGGGTTAGTGTTTGTACCACATTTCCTGCTTAGTCAATGATTCCTGTCTCGTATTCTGACATGGTTTCAGAGCGGTTCGCTCAGTAGGACCGTTTTTTTTTTAGGGCCCACCATTTGTTCTGCCCTGCCCGTTTTACTGCCCTGCCCGCTAGCGTGCACACTGCCCCGCGCGCCCCCGCATGCCCTGCTGCCCCGCGCGCCCTGCAAGCCCTGCTGCCCCGCGCGCCCTGCTGCCCTGCACGCCAGCGCGCCCCGCTGCCCTGCGCGCCAGCGCGCCCCGCTGCCCAGCGCCCGCGCGCGCCCCGCTGCCCAGCGCCCGTGCGCGCCCTGCTGCCCCGTACCTGCGCGTGCCCCGCTGCCCAGCGCCCGCGCGCGCCCCGCTGCCCAGCGCCCGCGTATGCCCCGCTGCCCAGCGCCCGTGCGCGCCCCACTGCCCAGAGCCAGTGCGCGCCCCGCTGCCCAGCGCCCGCGCTCGCCCCGCTGCCCAGCGCCCACGCGTGCCCCGCTTCCCGCGTGCCCTGCACGCCCTGTTGCTCTGCGCGCCCCGTGCGCGCCCTGCTACCCACGTGCCCCGCACGCCTTGCTGCCCTGCGCGCATTGCTGCCCTGCCACGCTGCCTGCGCGCTGCCCACGCACTGCCACTGCGCTGTCCGCCAGCTGCCAACGCTGCTTGCGCTGCCTGCTGCTGCACTGCTTCGCGCGCTGCCCGCGCACTGCTAGCACGCCCCGCGATGCCCTGCGCGCTGCACCGCTCACGCTGCCCTGCCCTGCCCTGCCGTGAGCTGCAGCCCGCTGCTGCGCTGCGGCACTGCTGCCGCCTGAGCTGCTGCCATGCATAGCCGTCGCTCAGCGCTGCTGCCGCTGCTTGCGCTAGTGCAGCCCGCTGCTGCGCTGCTGCACTGCTGCCGCACGAGCTGCTGCCATGCATAGCCGCCGCTCAGCGCTGCTGCCGCTGCTTGCGCTACTGCAGCCCGCTGCTGCGCTGCTGCACTGCTGCCGCACGAGCTGCTGCCATGCATAGCCGCCGCTCAGCGCTGCTGCCGCTGCTTGCGCTACTGCAGCCCGCTGCTGCGCTGCTGCACTGCTGCCGCACGAGCTGCTGCCATGCATAGCCGCCGCTCAGCGCTGCTGCCGCTGCTTGCGCTACTGCAGCCCGCTGCTGCATTGCTGCCGCCCGAGCTGCTGCCCTGCCTAGCCGCCGCTCAGCGCTGCTACCGCTGCTTGCGCTACTGCAGCCCTGCCCCGTTAGGCCTGCGCTGCTGCTCTGCTGCCCTGTAGCGCCCTGGCCTCTGCGCTGTCCTGCTGCCCTGCCCACGCTGCCTTGTGCTGCCGCCTGTGCTGCTGCTGCCGCCTGCGCTGCTGCTGCCACCTGTGCTGCTCCTGCTGTGCTGCTGCTGCTGCTGCTGCCGCCTGTGCTACTGCTGCTGCGCTGCTGCTGCTGCTGCTGCTACGCTGCTGCTGCCGCCTGTGCTACTGCTGCTGCTAAGCTGCTGCTGCAGCTGCTGCTGCTAAGCTGCAGCAGCTGCTGCTGCCTACGCTACTGCTGGCCCAGCCGAGCCGCCTTTGCTGCCCCCCTTGCTGCTGTTACTGCTGCTATGGCGACTCCCACTGTGCTCACCTTTGACGCCAAGGGACACCCGATACAGTTTGAGTCCTGGCTAGAGGGTTTGCACCAGTACCTCCAGAGTGTCACTCAGACCAACGCCTCCCTGTTCGAGCACACGTCGAGGTCCCTTCCGGCCCCCGAGGCTCCTGCTGAGCCTGCTGCTGACGCTGGGGAGGAGGTGCAGACGCAGTTCCGCGCAGCTCACGTTGCCTACAAGCGGTGGATGGTGCGGAACGCCGCCGCCACACTTGCAGTCCGCCTTCACCTCTCGCTCGACCAGAGAGCCAACTTTCGCCAAGTGTCATCGGCCCATGCTATGTATTCCGCTGTGGTTAGGCGCTACTCCCCCCCCCCCCCTCTCCTGCCACCCTAGACTGTCTTGCGCTGCCTCTTACCTTCCCTGCGCTGTTAGAATTCGCCTCTGTAGCTGACGAGGGTGGTGGTAGTGGAGCTGGCGAGAGTGGCGAGGGCGGGCAGCAGCAGCTAGAGTCTTCGTGAGGCGCTGCATGTGCGCCTACTAGCACAGGTGCGATTCCTGCGGAGGCGTTGCTCTCGGTCCCTGTCACTCTGGCCGACCCCACCTCTGGACTAGTCTATGCGCACCCCTTTGACTCCTCTGGCTCGACTGAGGGGGGTGACCCTGCTGCTGCCGACTCAACGACCTCTTGCCGCTCGCCGCACTTGGAGACACCTCCGGGTTTTCCGCCTCAGACGTCTTCGCCTCCTCTGCAGCCTGTCGCTGTGGACTTCGGGGGCCCAGATGTTGTTGGGGATGGTGACGCTGAGAGTGCTGGCTTTGGGGGTACTGGTTCAGGAGGTGCTGGTTCTGGGGGTGCTGACTCTGAGGGTGCTAGGAGTCCTCTTGTAGGTGGAGTTGGAGGTACAGGCGCTGGAGGTGTTCCTGGGACTGGCGGTCCTGGTGTTTGTGCAGGAGGTGCTGGGTCTGGGGGTGCGTCGCAGTCGCTGCCGCGGTGGCCTATCTTCTTGGAGCAGCCGTCGTCGTCGCTACTTGAGTCGGCGCTTCACCACCTTCTCCGACTCCCGGCTGCCTCTGCTGAGCCGACGGCCACTGGTACTACTCCTCCTCTGTTGTTTCCGCCGCCTGACCTGTCTCGGACACTGTTGCCGCGTGACTCCCCTCTGATTGGGCGTCGGGTGCCTGTGTCTTGTGCCGCCTCCCCTACTACCTCTAGTGTTACTCGGGAGCCTGTTGTCCTGTCGTTACCTCCCCCGTCTTCTCTTCCTGCCGTTTGTGACCCTGTGTCTGACCTTGCTCGTGCTGCTAGCCCGAATATCCCTTGTTGTCTAGCCGCGCTTGTTACTGCACATGCTTCTTCGACTGCTACTGCTTCTGCCTTAGTAGCTGAGCTCGCTGGCTTTGCCGCTACTTGCCGCCATGCCTACCTTGCTGGTCTCGTTTCTGCCTCTTCGTGTCCTCCGTCCGTCGGGGTGAGCTCGCCTTTGGCTGTGACGTCCTTGAGGACAGGCAGTTCGAGCTGGAGTACCTGCCGTACCCTCTCAGCATCCGGACTCGCTATGTTGCGCCCGGGAGACACCACCCTGCGCAGTGGCAGGCTACTAGGAGGGTGCTGCGCTACTTGGTCAGACTCGCGAGCAGAACATAGCACTTTGTACTTCGTTCCTTTGCCGTGCGAGTGTTGTAGCAGCGTTCCCAGCTTCGCCTTTCGTATGTGATGAGCCCTAAGCTCCTTCTCTTAACATGCTTCGCTCTCTGACTTTACATCTCCAGCTTGTAATATCTCCTTCTCCTCACTACTTGCTCGTCGTGATGCAAGAAATTCGTGTTATAAAGGAAACATACAAGCATTGAGGATAGCTACCACAAGGTACCTCCTATCTACCAGTCTGGCCTCCGCCTCGTTTGCCCTGCCTACCCTTGCCTGTCCTCAGCAGCTAACACAGCCTTGGAACAGACTAGCAACCATCCTGCCAACTGCCTCTGTTGCCCGCCTCTTGCTTCTCTCCCTCCAGCTGACACTGTGCTGTTCCAGCTGGCTCCTTGGAGCACACCTGCACACATACGAAAGCAAGCGCACATGCATACGAGCACCCATCCGTGCTGACATGGTAACCTGCTGGCCCTGCCGTTGCCAAGCGCTGTAGTTTCAGCCCTTGCCCACCTGCCACTTACGTAAGTCCCGCCCTGTCCACTCCCCATGCAATTCCCAACCCTTCGCTTCGGCAGACGTCAACCTCCCTCGCGCCCACTTGCCTCCCCGCAAACCTCAAACCCCCACTTTGACCCTTCGCCTCCCATCCTCGGCAATGCCTTCCGCGCTATGTACAGTATATACAATTTATACACCCCCCCTTCTCTCCTCACTATCCCGTTCACATTCACATAAATGTGACAGCTGTCGGAACCTCACCACCTCCTTGCTGCTCTCTCTGCCTGACTCCTCCCTTTGCTGGCCTCTCCTTCCTCACCTCCCAGGACTGCACTTGTTGGATCTCACCCCTTCCTTCCACTCTTACCCAGACCCTCTTCTGCACTCGTCAGCCTTACCGATGTTTCTCCTTCTGTGTTTTCTGCCTGCCCCTGCACTCTGAGTGACATGCCTACTGCCCTCCCTCTTCACCCTTCCCCTCTGCTCTGATACTGCTTCTGGCACTGAACTCACTCTTGCCCCCTTCCATGACCTGCTGCCGCCGTCCTCGCCCTGGTCATGGGACCTGAGTACTGCTGCCCCTCCCCCCCCTTTCCTGCCAATGCCACATTGGTCACGTGGTCCATCACTCGCTTTCCTCCTTCCTCCTCCAGCACCAACACACCCGAGTCTCTCACCTCTTTCACGGTCCACCTCTGGTGTGACACCCCAAGGTCCAACCCATCTCGCTTCGCTCGCCTCACATACACTTCCTGCCCCTCCCCCACGAGCTGCTCTCCTCCCTGCATCTTCGCCGTCTGCCGCTGCTTGTAGCGGTGGATATCTCGCAGCTGGGCCACTTTCAGGCTCTCCATGGCCGCCGGCAGCATCGTCTTGAGATATGCAGCTTGTGCATCCGCCAGCGCCACCCACTTTTCCGCCGTCCCTGCTGACACACTTTCAGTAAGCACCTTTGGTGCTCCCACGGGCAGAATCGGCTGCTTTCCAAACAGCAAGTAATAGGGTGATACGTCCTTCAAGGCCGCCTGCTTGCTGAACCTGTAGCCGGCCATCACCCATGCCAGCTTCTTATCCCAGTCCCCTTTGTGCGCCTCCCCGTACACGCGCAGGCCTCTCTTCAC